CCCCTTTCCCCCTCCCTTCCACTCTCTCTAAAAATCAATGGAAAAACTTCCTCACTCCTCAGGTGAGGATTAACAAAAAACAAACAAACAAACGAACCCAGAGTGTGTGGCTACCGCACCAGGCCCGACCGTTGCCAGCTCCTAGCTGCCTTGTCAGCCTGCCCTGCCCCTCCCTGCATGGATCAGGGCCCGTCTGTGGACAGGGGCTCGGCAGGACAAGCTCACTAGAAACGCCTTACAGCCTATGCCCACAATGCCAGGGCGCGAGGCGCTCAGAGATGCCTGGACAATCACTCCTTTTAAAGATGGGACCAGCAAGTGGAATGACTGTGCTGGTTAAGTCTCCACCTCTAGAAACAAATACTGCCTAGGAAGCTGTAACTCTGGGGGTGGGGGGGGCGGGAGAGGCAAGGCCCCCCTGGCCCTCCTGCTGAGGACGCACAGAGCACCTTTGCTGTCGGGAATTTGAGCCAATGACAAAACATGGGACAAGAGGAACCCTCCAGGCGAACTCTCTCCGCCTGTGTCCTGCACCACCTGCCCTGGTGGGATGGCTGTTTGCAGAAGGAAGTCAAGGGTCACCCAGTGCACCCCCACTTCCTACTGTGCCTAGGGACGCCCAGGCCTCTCCTCTGGCTGTTGTTTTAACCCTTCCGTAAACCAGACTAGGAACCACAAAGAAGCTGCCAAAAGTTTGAAAACAAAACAAGGAAATTTGTTTTCCATATTTTTCTAACCAAAATTAACCTTTCCCTCACCCTGAATGCCCAGTCCCTTTCCTCCCACGTGGCACTGTGGTGATGCTGGACAGGCTCTCAGGGAGGGCCCCCGGGCCATCTGTGGCCCCCTGTACCTAGAGGAGGGTCCCCCGCATGGTGGATGTCCACAAACATGAGCCAGCACGCATGTTACTCGCTCGCTCTTCGCTCAGCTGCCCATCACATCCAACGCTGTCACCATCCCAAAGGAGACAAAACCTCATAGTCCGTCCATCGTCCTTGTCTTGCCCCCCCCCCGACCACGTCCTTCTCCCCAGACTGAAAGCCTTTTTATTGTTGAGAGATGGGTGTTTACTTGATTTGTGTGGTGACTTCCAGGTGCCTTGTGTGTGCTATGCCCCAGGCGTGCATGCAGTCGAATGAGACTCTACCCCTGCCCTCAGGGGCTCAAGGTGCACACAGAAAATCTGGCGAGCAGAGCTAACGGGGTGGGGGGGGTGCAGACAGTCTGCCAGGCTACTGTAATTACCCTGACCTAAGGATGTGTGCACGAGCACTGGCCTCCACTGGGCCCTGATATTCTGGGCTTCTGAGAATAGTGTGACTCATCCTCTATCATGGCCTGGACTCCATGAACCACGATATTTCTCCTGTAACTAATTAAACTAATACAAAATTTAAGGCATTTCTAACTTCAAAGCAAAATTATTAATCAATATGAAAACTATTGCTGTTATTATCCAGAGGCATGAAGCTTGAGAACATGGGAAAGGGTCCCCATGCGAAACCCCCCAAAAGCTCGGCAGCTCCCGAGTACAGGGAGCGAGTCCTGCTTTGTGTTGGATCCCTGCTCCTGGTGCAGGGCTTAGCACCACATAGGTGCTAAGTCACTGTGTCTGCCTGACTATGAGGCTGCTTGGACAGGCCAGGAAGAGACAGAGACAGAGACTGAGCCCTGCAACCCACCACAATCCATGGGACAGAGTGTTGAGTGAGACAAGGGGGCTGCATCAGGTCCCCAGTGTGCAGGAGGGGCTGCAGAGGCAGCCATCTGGGGAAGCTTGTGCATGGCTGCCCTGGGCTCTCCCAACTGTGGCATTTCCAGTAAGTGACGTGTGCCGTGCCCCAGCACCTGTCTGTGCTGCAGATTTATGCCTTTTGTCACCAGCAGGGCCAGTGGACCATTTCCAGGACAAAGCCGAGAGCTGGTCTCCCACCCCCACCCCTGCTCAGGCCAGGCGGCTTTGGCATAGCACCCAGAGGGTAGGGCGAGTGTGTCCCTAACACTGCTGGGGAAATAGACCTACCCTGAGCAGGTGGGAGGAACAAACAAGCCTGGACCATAGCCATCCCCAACCCGCCGCCACCTGGCCCAGGGATCCCAGGGCCTGAGAGCAGGAGAGCAGGTTGAGGTCTCCGGCCAAACAGCCTGCCCCAAGCACACCTGCCTGCCAGCAGCTGGGCAGGGAGAGGGACAGCCTGTGCTTCCCACACCTGTGCTCAGTGCCCTCAAAAGCTTCCTGGCTGGCAATGGGGATGATTTCTTACTATCTAGCAGGCCCACTCAGTATGAGCTGGCATCCTGACTTCAAAAACTGCCTCTAAACCCTGGGATCTTTGAAAGGGGCAAAATTCCCAAGTCCTTGGAAAAGAGGGGGTCTGGAACCTGCTACTGACGTGAAGCAGTCAGGGTGAGTGGTCAAACCGTCAGTAACCCTGCCCGGGTCTTGGTCTCCGTCCCCCCCTTAGCCCTGACACCCTCCCCTGAACTGACCCACGACCTCGGTGTCAGAGTAGGCTAACCACTGAGCACTAATATGGGACTTGCCCAAATACCAGGTATTTCACTGTGAAAACCTCATGAGGTAGTACAGTAATCTGTTTTACAGAAAAGGAAACAGTCCTGGCAAGATTTAGCCACAGAAATTGCAAGACGTCTAAAAAAATAGACATGTGAATAGACAGGTTGTCCCTGTGGCACGAAGTAGAAGGAAAAACCTTAAAAGAACCAGGGCCCTTCAACCATGTTCCCGACCCCATTCCTCCCACTAACAGAGGGAGGCCGTCGGGGGTCCCGCAGACAGGCTGAGTGCAGGGAAAGGGTGAGCTGGAGAGGTGCTGGCTCCCCTCCCCTCCCCTCTCCTCCCCGCCCCGCCCC